TCATCATCATCATCATCATCATCATCATCATCATCATCATCCTCATCCTTATCCTCATCATCATCATCATCATCATCATAACATCATCATCATCAACATCATAATCATAATCATCATCATAATCAGAACCAGGATCATCATCATCATCATCGTCATCATCATCATCGTCATCATCACCGTCATCATCATCATTTCGGCACACCCCTCACGCAGTTCGTGGCCCCATAGGGAGCTCCACCGAAGGCCCCACTGGCTGCGTTCGCATGCGTCACCGCCACCCATTACAGCAGACCCCTCACACGGTTCGTGGCCCCATAGGGAGCTCCACCGGAGATGCGTATCGGTGCGAGCCACACCCTCGAAGAGGATGAGGCCCCCCTGGTCACCCCGCCCAGACCACTCACGCGTGGTGTTTGATTCCAAGCCAAAGTTAGCAGGTTGGTCCGAGCCGCTGGTGGCGTTCCTGTCGAGGTTTCCTCGGATTCAGGCTCGGACTAATCTGTGCTGCGGCCTCTGGCCCACGGGTCCGCCGAGGCTCCAGGTCTCTGTCCAGGCATCTCCCTTTTTGGGCCGCCTGGCACTTGGGTTTTCGGGATTGTTGTGCCCCTCCGTCGTGCGACAAAACCCCCCGCGTTTGCTGCCCGCGCGGGTCGACCCGCGCTGCAATCCCACGGTCTCGCTGCCGCCGTGCTCTGATGGCTCAGCGCCCACTACTTGACAGCTGTAGCTTTGCGGGCAAAAAAAAGGTTCGTGGCCCCATAGGGAGCTCCACCGAAGGCCCCAGTGGGTGCGGTTGCATGCGTCACCACCGCATATTACAGCACACCCTTCACACGGCTCGTGGCCCCATAGGGAACTCCACCGAAGGCCCCAGTGGATGCGTTTGCATGCGTCACCGCCACCCATTTTCGGAACACCCCTCACACGGTTCGTGGCCTCATAGGGAGCTCCACCGAGGGCCCCAGTGGGTGCAGTTGCATGCGTCACCGCCACCCATTACGGCACACCCCTCACACGGTTTGTTGCCCCATGGGGAGCTCCACCGAAGGCGCCAGTGGGTGCGGTTGCATGCGCCACCGCCACCCATTACGGCACACCTTTCACACGGTTCGTGGCCCCATAGGGAGTTCCACTAAAGGCCCCAATGGGTGGGTGCAGTTGCATGCGTCACCGCCACACATTACGGCACACCCCTCACACGGTTCGTGGCCCCATAGGGAGCTCCACCGAAGGCCCCAGCGGGTGCGGTTGCATGCGTCACCGCCACCCATTACGGCACACCCGTCACACGGTTCGTGGCCCCATAGGGAGCGCCACCGAAGGCCCCAGTGGGTGCGGTTTCATGCGTCACCGCCACACATTACGGCACACCCCTCACACGGTTCGTGGCTTCATGTGGGTGCGGTTGCATGCGTCACCGCCACTTATTTACGGCACGCCCTTCACACGGTTCGTGGCCCCATAGGGAGTTCCACCGAAGGCCCCAGTGGGTGCGATTGCATGCGTCACCGACATCCATTACGGCACACCCCTCACACGGGTCGTGGTTTCATAGGGAGCTCCACCGAAAGCCCCAGTGGGCGCGGTTGCATGCGCCACCGCCACCCATTACGGCACACCCCTCACACGGTTCGTGGCCCCATAGGGAGCTCCAGTTGCATGCGTCACCGCCACCCATTACGGCACACCTTTCACACGGCTCGTGGCCCCATAGGGAGTTCCATTCAAGGCCCCAGTGGGTGCGGTTGCATGCGTCACCGCCACATATTACAGCGCACTCCCCACACGGTTCGCAGCCACAGAGGGAGCTTCACCGAAGGCCCCAGTGGGTGCGGTTTCACGCGTCACCGCCACACATTACGACACACCCCTTGCACGGTTCGTGGCCCCATGAGGAGCTCCACCGAAGGCCCCAGTGGGTGCGGTTTCATGCGCCACCGCCACCCATTACGGCACACCCCATCACACGGTTCGTGGCCCCATAGGGAGCTCCACCGAGGGCGCCAGTGGGTGCGGTTGTCACCGCCACACATGACGGCACACTCCTCACTCGGTTCGTAGCCGCAGAGGGGGCTCCACCAAAGGCCCCAGTAGGTGCGGTTTCATGCGCCACCGCCACACATTACGGCACACCCCTTGCACGGTTCGTGGCCCCATGAGGAGTTCCACCGAAGGCCCCAGTGGGTGCGGTTGCATGCGTCACCGCCACCCATTACGGCACACCCCTCACACGGTTCGTGGCCCCATAGGGAGCTCCACCGAGGGCGCCAGTGGGTGCGGTTGCACGCGTCACCGCCACACATGACGGCACACCCCTCACACGGTTCGTGGCCTCATAGGGAGCTCCACCGAGGGCCCCAGTGGGTGCAGTTGCATGCGTCATCGCCACCCATTACGGCACACCTTCACACGGTTCGTGGCCCCATAGGGAGCTCCACCGAAGGCGCCAGTGGGTGCGGTTGCATGCGCCACCGCCACCCATTACGGCACACCTTTCACACGGTTCGTGGCTTCATAGGGAGCTCCACTAAAGGCCCCAGTGGGTGCGATTGCATGCGTCACCGACATCCATTACGGCACACCCCTCACACGGTTCGTGGTTTCATAGGGAGCTCCACCGAAGGCCCCAGTGGGCGCGGTTGCATGCGCCACCGCCACCCATTACGGCACACCCCTCACACGGTTCGTGGCCCCATAGGGAGCTCCACCGAAGGCGCCAGTGGGTGCGGTTGCACGCGCCTCCGCCACCCATTACGGCACACCCCTCACACGGTTCGTGGCCCCATAGGGAGCTCCACCGATGGCCCCAGTGGGTGCGGTTGCATGCGTCACCGCCACCCATTACGGCCCATGCGTTCACGCCAGGCATAGCCGTGGTCGCATTCATGCAATTATCGTCATTCGCGCTCGTATTCATTCACCCTCAGACGCAGTCGCACTCAGACCAACCCGCGTCAGTCTCCTGTAGTTCGACTTATCGTCTTCGTTCGTGTTGTGTACCCCGCCACGCAGTTCGGCACACCCCTCATGCGGTTCGTGGCCCCAAAGGGATCGCCACCGAAGAAGGTGCTCACACTTGCGGTACCCACAACTGCATATGGTTGGGTCCTTCGCAAGGCTAATTCAATACGCGGTTCCCGGAAGTCTCGACCCATTTCTCGGGACCGGTTTTTCAATCTGAGTCACTTTTGGACGGTCCTTGGGCCCGGCGAGGGCCCTTAGAGGCCGAAAACTGCTAAAAACGTCCGTACTGATTTTTCCAATACGTTGGATCTCGGGGTCGATGGCCCGAGGCGTCCGCTGAAGTCTGCGGTTGTCGCCGCCTTCTGACAGCCGCCCCCGAGGGGTCCGTCGGCCGAGGACCCGGTGACGTCTTTTTCGAGTATTTTTATTTTTCGTCCAAAATCCCCCTGTATGGGGGACAGGCCCGACAGAAGGCTTTGGGATCTTGCTGGCTTAAGCGTCGCCGCACGGCCTGCCAGTTCTTGCGCTCGCGTCTCCAGGGCTGCTTTTGTTCAGGTCAACGAGCGCGCCCCACTGCTCGCAAAGTGCCTACTCGCAGACGTTCGACACAAGTCCTGTCTTCCTCGACGTCACTGTCAGCGTAGATCCCCCACGGCAGATCCAGGCCATTTGCGAGCAGTTACTTTGCGAGTATTGAAGCGCGCTCGTCTATAAGGGTTTGGCGGTAAGGAGCCAGGCGCCTTGACGGCGCATCGGCAGAGGAGGCGCCGTGCAGATGTGCACTGGCAGAGTGGTGAGAGGCATCGATCGGCTGCGATTTTCTGCCGCCAGTGCTGCTGTGATGCCGCAGGAGGTCAAGCAGAACAGCGATGAAACATCCGTGGCGGATGTTGAGCTGTGCGCGTGATGCGTAATTGGCCGCTGAGTTCTCCAACGCGGCAGGCGGTTCTTGCACACGCGCCTCCAGGACTGCTCTTTTTAAGGGCTTGTCCAGGCCTCAGAGATGGGGTCGGAGTAGATGGGGTCGGAGGATCGCGCCACATCGCCGATGCATCGGCGATGCGGCTCGATGTGGATCCCGATTTTCTCCACGCCGAAGTCACCGATGCGTCGCCGACGTCGGCGATGCATCGCCGGTGCATCGCCGACGTTGGCGACGCATCGCGGGTTTGGCGACAGGCCGGGAAATCGGGCCCGAGCTTCCCGCCCCGCAGACCTCAAGCAGTGGCCAAGCGTTTGGGCTTGCCTATAGGCCCAACATTGTTCTAAGAACACGTTGTGGTCTGCACGACATGTTCATGTTCTTAGAACATTTCTGGCTGAGACTGTCTTGATTTTCAAACAATATATTCATGTTATGAGAACATTGCTTTTGTTCGTAGAACATTTTTTCGATTAGAGAACATGTCGTGGTAGGCCTACAGGGATGCCAGGACGGTCGGTCCCTGCTCAACTCCCGGACCGTTTCTGTTACAGGGCTTGGCGACAGGCCGGAAAATCGGGTCCGAACCTCCCGCCCTGTGGAACGGAGCGACTCGCCATCCGCTTGCATGGCATGGCGTGTCGCCGGCGCCGACAGGGGCAACCTTCGTAATCTCGCGCGGGGCTACTTGGAGCAGGGACCAATATTTCCTGAGCGTTCTGGAGGGCTCTCGCGGTCTGGAAGCTGGAACGCTCTGAGAAGGTCGCGGCGCCCGATACGTCCTCCCATAACCGCAGGACCTCAGAGATCCCCGATGTGTCCTGGTCCGATGTTGTCTTGCCTTGGTCCGATCGTAATCTGACCTTGTCCGCTGCTCAGGTCCGAAGGGGTACGCCGTACGGGTTCGCGCGGGAGCACGTGGGATTACCCGAAGCGGCCAAAGTGAGGGTATCGGCCATCCCCCCCAGACCCTGAAGTCGGGCATGCTCTGCTACAGGAGGCATATGCAAAGATAGTCAAACTTTGTCTGGGGACGATTTGTTCATGATTTCTGACCATTGTTGAATTTTGTTCTGGCTATTCTCGTTTTTTCCCCGACCTGGCGGAGGGGTTCCCGTTTAGTGTCCCCCTGGGAGGGTCTGGGGGGGACCCCCCGGGGCATGGCCCCGGCCACGGGCGAAACGCCGGCGGAAGTCGGCGGAAGTCGGCGGAAGACGGCCGATCGACGGCCGCTCACGGCCCGATTTCTGCAGACGCTCTTTCACGAGGCACGGACGGCCCCAAGATGGCCCACAAGATGGACCAAGAAGGCTTCCAGTCGCCGAAACAGCGGCACAAGACGCCCAGGATGGCGTCCCGACGACCCAGGGAGCCCCACAGACGCCACGAGAGGCCTCCAACAGGCCCTTCAGGAGAGCCCGTAGCGTCCCAAATCATAGTTTTTCCTTAGGTATTTGAAGGTTTCTGGGGTTTGCGTCTTTTCGGCTTCCCGCCTTTCCAAGACAGCCCAAGAGGCCCCAAAGATCGCCCCAAGACGCCCTCAGAGACCCCCAAGAGAGCGCCCAGACGGCCGAATAGGCCCTCAAGACGACCCAAGAGGCCTCCAAGACGGTCTCAGAAGAGCCCCAGGGACGCCCCAAGAGCGCCCCCGGAGCGGAGGCAGCGGCCCATTTTCAGGGTTCTCCGCCCCAGGAACCTTCAAGAGGCCCCAAGAGGCCCCCAAGAGGCCCCCAAGGAGCCCCAGGAAGCCTCAAGAGGCCTCCAGGAAGCCCCCAGGAGCGCCCAAGAGGCCCCCAGGACTGCCCCAACAAAGCCCCAGGACGGCTGGAGGCGCCACGACACAGCGTCACAGCGGCAAACGGACAACACGGGAACCCATCCTCTGCTGGTCTCGCATGGAAACGTGCTGAGCTCGCCTCCGGACTCGCATGGTCGCGTGTTGCGCTCACCTCCAAGACGCACAGTCGTTTCTTCCGCCACCTTTCTCTCTGAACATCTTTGGGACAGGAACCCCAAGCGACCTTTTAGATCCCCACATCGCTCCCCAGGAAATCCCCCGGAGGCCTCAACACGGCCGCATACGGCCCCCGAAAGCCGCAAGTCGGCCGATCCTGTGAACCCGCGCCCCCCCGCCGCTGCGGCTCGCATGGAGACGTGCTGAGCTCACGCAACTTGTCCAATCCTGGCTCCCCCCAGGAGCCTCCAGAGCCTCAAGAGTCCTCTAACTCCCACTCCTCCCTCGCCATGTCAACCCGCGACTCCCCTCCTCCCGGTGGCTCGCATGGAAGCGTGCTGAGCTCACCTCGTGACTCGCATGGTAGCGTGCTGAGCTCGCCTCCAAGACGCATCATCATTTCTTCCGCCGCCTGTTTTTCCCCGACCTGGCGGAGGGGTTCTCGTTTAGTATCCCCCTGGGGGGGTCTGGGGGGGGACCCCCCGGGACAGGGCCCCGGACACGCGCAGAACGCCGGCGGAAGACGGCCGTATTTCTGCAGACGCGCTTCCGGGAGGCACGGGCGGCTCCAAGAGAGTCCGCAAGATGACCCAAGAGGGTAACGAATCGCCGATTGAGCGGTCAAGACAGCCCAAGATGGGCCCAAGATGGCCCAAGAGGCCGCCAAGACGCCCCAAGAGACCTCCAATCAGCCGCCCAAGAGAGCCCCAAGAGGTGAAAATTAATAACTTTACGACGGTTTCTGAAGGATGTTGGACTTCGCGCCTCTTCGGCTTTCCGACGCTCCAAGACGGCCCAAGAAGCTTTCAAGATTGCCCCAAGACGGCCCAAGAGGGCCCCAAGACTGCCCAAGAGGGCCCCAAGACGGCCCAAGAAGCGCCCAAGACGGTCCAAGAGGGCCCCAAGACGGCCCCAAGAGGGCCCCAAGACGGCCCCAAGAGGGGCCCAAGAGCGGGACCACGAACCGAAAATTCGAGCCTTCTGCCTCAAGAGAGCCCCAGGAGGCCCCAAGAGGCCCTCAAGAGATCCCAAGAAGCGCCCAAGAGGCCCCCAAGAGCCCCAAATTAGGCATCCAAAAAGACCAAATGATGCCCCAAAACTGTCCCCAAGAAGCCTCAAAACAGTCTCCCAGAAGCCCCCGAGAGACCAACCACGATTATACATATTTCTTCGTCGGACGTCTTCCCCGTCGTCGAATCAAGCCCACAACAGGCCACTCCTTCCTTGTCCCTGCCGCTCTCACCAATCATCCCCACCTCCATTTTCAGGTCGGGGTTCGTGGCAATATCAGGTTCGCCCAAAATCCGTCTGTAGGAGGACACGCCCGACCTACCCCCCCACCCCTCCTACCCCCACTCACACACACACACACACACCCACACACACACACACACACACCGGATAAGCGGGCGATCGCCGAAACAAATGAAAAAGTGTTTCCCAGCGAGCGGCCGCCGCGGCGCTCCGCATTCGTGCGGGCTGGGCCTTCCCCAACAGCGTGTTCCTTGCTGGAGGGACGGTTGGCGGAAGAGCCGCAGACACCGGCGGAAGGAAAGTGAGGGTGGCATCGGCCGCGGAAGCTTGGCGGAAGATGTCGGAAAGGTTGACGAGTTTCGATGCGATGTCAACGATGGATCCACATGTTACATGTTTCCCACTC